AGGAATTACAGCAACCTGAGCAGTCTCTTCGGGAGTTGTCACAGGTTTAGACTGCTTCTTAAGAGCAACACTTCCAGCATCTGCATCCAACATCCCGCCTCTCCCGACTTCTACTGGATTAGCGCATTTGCCGAGCTCCTCCGTGCCTTCTGTGTCAAAACAGAAGCAGTGGCAGTGCCGGCCCCAGCCGTCTCATTCACAGCACCAGGTGGAAGGAAGGAGATGTAGAGACATAACTAGTGGAGATGTGTGATGAAGCAGTTGGTACACAGGACACGACAGTAGGGGATACAACAGCAGAGGCTGTCGAAGCTAAAACACGCACCTACCGCACCAAACACAACGGCTTGCAAGGACACTGCCCCACAAAACCTTACACTCCCACAACACCCTACACGCCAGTGTTTCTAACAGATTTGAGACAACCCAGATGTCCTTCACCACGGAAATGTGAGAGCAAGGGGCAGGAATGAACTGGTACACACAGCAGCTTGGATGAATCTCCTGAGAACAGCATTGGTAGATGAACACCAGTCTCAGGAGATTACACGCCACATGGTCCCTTGTTGTGATAACATTCCTGAAATGACAAAATTAGAGTCATGCAGAAAAGATTAATGATTGCCAGGTGATGAGAATAAGCAGAAGTGAGGGGGCTGTGGAGGGGCCTGCAGAGAGGGAGGGGAACGACGTTCCAGGGGTCTCAGTGGTATGAGTATCCCACATCTTCCATGAAGCTTTGATGTCCCCATTTGCAGCTAAGAGTGGGGAACACATAGAATCTCTGTGACATTTTACACAGTTGAAAATTTCCTTATGTTATCTAAAATCAAAAGTTTAATTAAAAACAGGTGAGATAATTAGTGAAAAAAGGACGAATTATTAATGACTTAATGTGCCAGCAGCAAGATATAATTTGCAAATGTATCTAATCTTTTTGTCATTGAAATGGAATGTTTGCACTATTTTCAGGCAAAATGTCGCCAGAAGTTACTTAGATCACAGGGCAGCAAAGAGTATTTCTGTCATTCAAAACCACCATGAATAAGTGAACAGTAACACTCCCTGAAGAGAGAATTGTGGAAGGTCATGGGTCCCTGCTCTGCAACACTTAGGAGTGACCACAAGAGGGCGCAACGATCCCAGCTAATTTTAGGGACACTGGTAGCCCGTGTCACAGGAGAGGACCTGGAGGTAAGCTGGATGTGGAAATATGTAGGAAAGACATTGTTTTCTGAAGTATTGTTTTGTAAAACTTTCTCTGAATTGCAACTGTGGTTAGTTTTCTTTTTATCTTTCTTAAAAGCTGCAAATCAGTTGATCAAAATTGATAACTGCCGGCTGAGGCAAGGAAGGAGAAGCTGGTCGTGAATAGCGAACAAGGAAGATGATTTTATGCAACCTTTCCAGCCTATGACTAGAGACCCCCTCCCTCACTTCCTCTGCAGATGCTCCACGTAGGGCCAGCTTAGGAACATGCGGGGCTATTCAAACACCCATACAACAGGCACACGATATGCAATTGAACACCAAGATGCCTTCCCATGCTGGAGGTGAAGTTTTACAAGCAAAATGTTGACCCACAGGACCCAGAACGTTGGTCAGTTTACAGATAAAGTCAAAGATGGGGTGGGTTGCAGGTGAGATTTGGGTGTGGCGTTGGCCAGCAGAAGTCTTTGAAGTGAAGCGGTAATGGCCTTCATCTGAGGCCTCATCTTCTTTCTCTTAGAAAACAGAACAAAACAATGGAGTTTTATTTTATTTATTTGTTTGTTTGTTTGTTTATTTATTTTTATCATTCCAACTTTGGACTAGAAATGAATGGCAGGTCCTAAGAGCGCTTTGAGATGGGGTAGTCAGCTGGGTGACGCACACAGCTGGTGTTCAGCCTGTGCCTGGAGAGTGGAAATAGACATTCGGCAGGAACTGACTCTCTCCTAGTCATGGAGAAGAACGGGTGAGATGTTTAGATGCCTGTGAGCCACGGGAGCAGTGACGAATCCTGAGGGCCCTCACCCACCAACCCATCACCCCCAGCAGGAGCCTCTGCCAGCACCAGGGGAAGGGCTGGAGATCTTTGACAGCGCCTGCAGGGTCCCAGAAGAGAGCAAGCCAGCTACTTGCCAGACCTAGTATCGGGAGCCTGAATCCATGTGGGAACCTCGGCCCTCTGGTCTCTCTTGCTCCTGCTGGCTCTCGGGGCCTAGGCAAAGGATGTTAAAACCAGGTCGCAACAGGGAAATGGGAAGAAATTTAAGCTGAGTTCAGAATTTTGAACAAGTTAGGCCTGGTCACACGGGCCTGTAATCCAGAATTTGGGAGGCAGGGGCAGGAGGCTTGCAGGCTTAATGTACACAGTGAAGTAGAGACCAGCATACGCTATTCAGCAAAACCCCAACTGACAAACAGTCAAAAACTGATCAACCAATAAGGAAGCAAGAGACAGTGAACAGGGAGGAGCCAAGACCCCAATCGTCTCTTCAAGGGCATGGCCCCAAAGATCTACCTTATTCCATCCAGGTCCCACCCCTAGTTGTTTCCTCCTTGTAGATCCATGGGTTGGAAATCAAACTCCAAATATGAACACCAAGCTGCCCAGGAACCAACAGGCTCTTCTTCAGCCATATGTTCTTGATATACTGTAATATCTTTCTTCCTAGCGTAGGCATCTGATCATTTGCCCCGTGGAAACAGTGACCCTGATTGTTTTAGTCCCTGAAGTCCGGGAGCAATCCTAACACAAAGGAAACCATCAGTCACACTCACTCCTGTGTATTCATCAGTTAGTTACTCTCATGTCAGCCTTCGAAGAAATAAATATATACTATGATAAATAAATTACTCGACTTGAAGTGGTGGATTCTAAATGTATTTTTCCACTACACAGGTGTACAAAGTTTAGGAAACGCATCTAAATTTTATCCTTTTTATTTAATTTAAAGATAATCTTCAAGGCAATCCAATGCCCTGAAATCCTCTGATGTCTAAAATAGAACCGTCTATCATATAAGTAGTGCTTCTAATTTTTGCATCATATCTGCACGTGTCAAAATTCAATGAATATTTATGCCTATTTTACAGATGTATATATGCATCAGAACTTTCTCATCTTTCTTCCTCTATTACAAGTTCATGTGCCATCTTCACAATCCAGGTACTATCATACATCTGTGAGGCAGTGACGTGGGCATCTTGTCTTTTGCATAAAGTTAAAAGGAAGACAGGGGTCTGAATAATTGAACTACACAGGAAAAAGAATAAGTTGGTTTTTTTTAAATGTTTTTCTATGTGTATGGGGTTTGTATGTTTGTGTGTGTGTGAGCACATGAGAACATACCTGTACACACATGTGGAGACAGAAGAAGGTATCGGGCTTCATTTAGTTCTCTCTGCTTTATTCCCCCGAGAAAATATCTCTCACTGAACCCAGAGCTCGTCACTTTTCAGCCTGGCTGGCAGCCAACAAGCCCCATGGGTCTTCCTGCCTTCACCTACTCCAGCGCTGTGACTATAGGTGTACATGCCTATGTCTGGCTTTTTATGTGAATGGCTGCCAGGTACACAAATATAGGTCTTCATACTTGTATAACACATGCTCTCTCCTCCTGAACCATCTTCCCATCCCTGGTATTGTTTGTATTGGTGTATTAATGATGCATCATGATGGGCTTCATTATGATATATTTATACATGTACATACTGTATTTCAGTCGGGTTCATCTCAGTTATCCAGTTTTGTCTCCCCTCTTCCTCCCCACAGTCCCCTTTTCCTACCAGGCAGCTGGCCTTCCACTATCCTATCTATTTTGCATGTTTTATTAGGGTTGTTTATAGGAGCATGGGGGATGGTTTATTTACAAGGAGCATGCGCATCTTCCAGAGACTGCACCACAGGAAAAAAGTTCTCCTTTCCCTCACAAACCACTAAGGATAAATCATCATGAACAGTTGATTTATCCTTCTATGACCAAGTGTTGAAGGGCCCAATCTCAGGCTGATTTTACACAGGCAGTCTTAGTTGCAATGGGCCTGGGAGCCGACTTAGCAATCAGGAGTGTCTATTACTCTTGCAGAAGACCCGAGGTTGGTTCTCAGCACCCGTATTGGGTGATTCACAACCGTCTGTAACCCCAGCTCCTGGGAATCCAAAGCCTCTGTGAGTACCTGCAATTACGGGCACATCCTCACACCAAGACACCCAGACACAAATAATAAATCTTGTAAAAAGTAGTACAAAAGTCATGTCACACCTGGAAGTCAGCATTCCCTGTCATCCACCACTACGGCTCTTTCATTCTTCCTGTTTGTTCTTCTGTGATATCCTCTGAGCTTTGTTGGGGAATGTACAGACATTCTGTTTATGACTGGGGATGCAATGGCTATTTATCATCAATATTTTGAGAGCCTATGGATCTTTGCACTCACCATTGACCATGACAAAAGATTTCTCTGAACAAAGCTGATATCAGCTAACCTATGGGCATACACAGTTATTTAGAGGGCAGCTTAGCAGAGATACCAAATCCATTAGGCAGTAGCTTCCCTTTTGATTCTATGACCTCATCAATCATAGGCTTTTATTAGGTTTGTAGTACCACATGTGAAATGGAAATCCAAAACAACCAAAAATTGGTTGGTTTATCCTTATAATATACTTCCCATTATTGCACCACCCCATATTGCTGCTTACAGGGTCCACAGCAAAATTAAGACTACTTGACATGAGATCTCCCCCAGCAGGATGGATAGTACCTTCTGGAACTATGAAAGCTAGTCAGCAGGGAGGAGGCTTCCAACCAAGTGTCAGTGTGATATCTCTATATTCTGTGACCAAGGCATTTGGCCTTTTCAGTATCAGGGTCTTAACGTCTAATTCTGGTGAGCAACCAACAGCAGTGGCTGTTATTATTTGCGTTGCTCAGTGACCTTCCAGCTAACAACTGCTGGGCATCTCTGACATGGGTATTTCCATTTAATAACCTATGGCGCTGTAGCAGCTTTAATCTACCCATGAAACTCTGGTTTCTACATGTTTTTATTAGCTTAGTGAGTATCACATTTCCACATTTTCAGACATAGATAGGTTTTCAATACATAATAACAGCAGTTGTCTCAGAGCAAAGCAGAGAGAGCGACTGTGGGGTGGACCTCTGCCCAGCGGGGCAGCACAGGGGGAAAGCAGACACTGTAGCTACGGAACATTACCCTAGAACGGGTTCTAGAGTGACTAGTTCAGTGATCTACCAGTTTGTGAGTCCTCAACAATAGCAGACATTGTAGCTTTGGTGGAATGGAAGATCCAATGCTAGAATGCTAGTAATTGATGAGTAATCTTAAGAACAGTAACTTCTCTTCCGGAAAGTTTGAGAAAGAGAGTGAACTAAGTAAGCAAGAGTTGGTCAGGAGTTTAAGGATGGCAAATACCTGAGCATTGCTGGGAGATGAACCAGTGTGAGCCGGAAGAAGGCTTGGGCATGAAAGTGAAATGGTAAGAACTTCTGCTTCTTTTGAAGGAAGCAGTGGGGGATGGCATCAGTGCATTGCTCAAGGATGGGAGACACACCTTTCTCAGGGACCAAAGGGATGAGAGAAAGGAATGGATTAGCTGCTGGGCATTTGTAGGACACCGGTGTGGGCCAGAATTCCCTGGGGTCGGTATTTCTTTAGTAAAAATGCTGTTGAACCTGTGTAGGGAACAGAAGGCAGTGAAGGTTGAGATGGAGATCTGACACCAGCATGTTACAAAGACCTGTGAAGATGAATGTCACCACTGAGGTCCCCCACTGACTAACGCCCAGCCGATGAAGAGATAGAATTTCTGTTGACAACTACACGCTCAGACTAATGGCTTGCTTTTTGATGATTCCTGCCTTCATCATAGGCTGTCAACGAGCACTAAACTGTGCGTGGGTTTCCTCTCATGTCCAAGGCTAATTAGTGTTAATACGCTTTTGCTGTTCTAACTTCCTATATGAAAGCATAATAAACAATGGTGCTGAGAACGGGAGGCTCAGCATATCGCGTCCACCGAGAAGGCGCAGATGCACCTGAGTCAGCGGAAGCATTTTGCCCGTCAGGAGAGCTAGGCCACTTAACTGCATTGCTTCATCTCTTGTTAATGGAAACACAGCGTATGCAGGCATTCATTCAGTGAGCATCCGTTTGTCACTTAGTCTAGGTCCGGTACTGCGGCCATGGGTGAGGATTTGGTGATGTAAGGCCCAGTCCTCAGCTGTGACGGCTGAATACTCTTCTAGAAGGGAACCCCGTGACTTATTGAATATCTCTGCAGTTTCCAATCTCACAGCTGAAGTCTGTTGTGTCATGTGACCCATGTCATAGTTTTAGTCTTAGAATGTGCTTTGTTCTACTCAATTGACAATCACTGGGCTGTTCTCCTATGAGTTATCAGACTGTGTACATGCCTTAGGAGTCAATGGGAAGGAACAGTCTCCTACCTGGGTCCTTTGTTCCCTGCTTTGCCCTCCATCAAACCTCCCTTCTATGTCAGCACTTCTGTCCCTCTCCTGGGCCTCCCTGAGGATCCTGCCAATGGCAATGGAGCTTGGCTGGAGGCTTTGCTACCCTTTCTATTCCACTGTAACGAAAAGTGATTTATTTGTAAAAATAAATGAAAACATGTAACAAACTTTGTTAAAATCTCTAGGATGAGAGCACCCAGCTTACTAGTTTCTTCTTTGTCTTTGATATGGAAATCATCCAATGCACCCTTCAACCCCTGGGGAGGAAGGAAGCTGTGTTGATAGTGATTTCAGGTGGACATTTCTAGCTTTCCTGCTTCCCTTTCCCATTCTTTCCTTCTGTTTTCCTTACCTCCTCCCACTAATGATTACCGAGCACTGTTTTCCGCAGTAGGCTTTATGGGTAGAAAGTAGAATCAGGCCTTCAAGAGAGACAGCGGTAGACATACACATGTCAATCACACTGCCGTGTATCAGTGCTATGTAGCAAGGGACAGGACTGTCTGGAGAGCAGTAGAAAGGCTCTGCAGAAGCTTGGAAGTGGGGTAAGGGTTGCCCTAAGTAAACAGGGAGAGGACAAGCTCGGCTCAGTCAGATGAGGCTGGGTAGAAAGAAGGAGCAAGTTTGACCTTAGATTTAGAGGTTTGGGATAGGTCTTTGATAGTCATTACCAGTCACTGTACTGTCTCTGAAAAGGCCTGAAAGAACATTTCTCATCTCTGCCTCTCTTTGGAGTTGGCCTTTTCCCTCTGTCTGTCAGATCTGAGGCAGGAGTTCTGTAGTATTATGGGTCACGTTCACCCAGTTCATGAGATGTGAGATTAATCCGCTTCACCCCACCATTCCATTGCCTTCTTATGCGTGTCCCATGTTTACTGGCTCCTAGAACACTGTGGAATGAGGGAATAGGTACAGAAAGTGGTTCTAGAACCTTCACACCTGCAAAACATTGAGTGTTTTTCTAATGATAGGAAACACTTGGCATTTGGCTTATGTTTGGTTTAAAGAAAGAATTCTTCTGGAAACAAAGGGTTAGCATCATCACTATTCTACCCTTTTCCTTTAGGAAACACTCTGCGCTGATGAGATGGCTCAGTGGTAAGGGTGGGCTTCACCAAACCTGACCTGATGACCCGAGTTCAATCCCAGAGACCCAAGTGGTGGAAGGCGAGAACTGACTCCTTCAAGTGGCCTTCCGATTTCCACATAAACCTCATGATACATGTATAAACATGCAAACACACACACACACGGAGCATGTAACACAGTTTTTTTAAAAAAAGAAACTCATATAAGCATACCACTTATGATGTACATCTGTGCTTGTTTTTGATCTATAAAGTTTTCTTGTATGCTCTAAGCAAATATCTCTACCTCAATGCCTCATTAATCTGGAGCAACAATACCAATCCTGCTCATCTTTCTTTCCTCCCCACCCCCATCAGTTGAAGCTACCGTTTATATTACTACCCAACCATCCTCTTTTTTTTTTTTTTATGGTTCTTACCCTTGTCTAGATGATTCCCCCGACCTCATCTTGGCTTTAGCTCTTGCTTTTCACTTCACATCTAAGGATGCTCAAGGATGTTTCTCTGTTTCCTGTGACTTTATTCTTTGCTTCTTGCTCATGGTGTTGGGAGAACAACTGCTGGATTGTGTTGTTACTCTCCGGGGTCCTTTCCCTGAAAGATCATCACACTGCTGTATGACTCTACTTTTTCACATTTCTCTACCTCATTCCAACTAACCAATTCGAAGGTGTAGTGGCATTTCAATTGTGTTTCAATAAATAAAGACCTCCTAGGCCGTGGTGGCGCACACCTTTAATCCTAGCACGCGGGAGGCAGAGGCAGGTGAATCCCTGGTGAGTTCGAAACCAGCCTGGTTTATAAGAGCTAGTTCCGGAACAGCTGGAACGGTTACACAGTGAAACCCCGTCTCAAAAAACAAACAAACAAACAAAATCCTAATAAATATAAATAAATAAATAAATAAATAAAGACCTGAAGATCTGAGAGTAAAATAGCCCCACTGGTGAGCCTTACAGACTAGGTTACGGTAATGCACACCTTTAACCCCAGTAGCCACACTAGTTGTCATAGAAATAGGGAGGTGCATGCCTTTAATCCCAGTGGTGTATGCCTTTAATTCCATCCCTAGAGAGGAATATAAGATGGGGGAAGACAGCTCTTCAGAGACCGCCTCCTAAGATTCCTGGAGGCATGATCATCATTTTCAGACTGAGGTCGAGGTAATAGCCAGTGGCTGACTGTTTTGCTTTTCAGATCTTCAGGTTGAATCCCAATTTATGACCCTGGGTTTTTATTAATCGTGTTTCATAAAGGAATTATTTTCTCCTCATTTTAGACTTGTGGGGAATACAGGAGCATGCTGGTCTCTGGAACTTTGCCCTGACTGACCTTTTATCTGGAATCTCTCCTCCAGTCTTCCCCTCTCTTCCTCATCCCAGCCAGACTCTACGCATCTTCAGAAAACTTGATTTATTTCAAGGAAAGTATGTCTGGTTAAGCCATTGTTAGTCTGACATGGATAGTCTTCAGAGAAAACGTTGCGGTTACTAACTATACTAATTAAACTTATGTCTGCTAAGAAGTTGCTGTGCTTCAGTTTATTCTTTTATGTCTGTCTATAACTCCCAAATCTTGTCCCTGTTGATGTGTTCTGCATTATTGTAACAATGCTACATATGTTTTTTTCACTTAACATAACTTATTTTTCGTGTGTTTATTTTATATTGGTCATTTTCATATCTCTTAAGCACCCATTCTCCACCGTATTGAAAATGACTTGCATTCCTATCAGCACTTCCATTCCCAAGGAAATGGTTTGTTTCTTTTTATTTGGTGTCTGCAAACAGCAATAGCTATGAACTTTATACCTTGTCTCTGTTCTTGGCAGAAACCTTAGTAAATAGTTATACAGGTAACTCGAGAGACCAGGCAAATATGTAAATTCTGGCCACTGGTTTTTTGATAAGGATGATGGCTGTTACACTGAATGAAGCCTGAATGAAGGCGGGATTCTTTTGAACGCCCTCCAGACTGACTAATATTTGTCTAGAGGGGAGCTGTGTCACGGAAGGAACAGAATGATTGTCTTTTCGCGTTTTCTGCATGTTGATTCCTTTGCCGGGGAGGGGCAGTCGTGCAGACTCTTACTCAGGTTTTGTCAGAACCATCATCATACCTGAAGAACCCACTCATCGCAGGAATTTTAGGTTGGGTTAGAATTTCTGTTACTTAGAATGGGGTGGGGTGAGCAGAAATTGAGAGTGTTTACCGTAAGTTAATTTATCCAGTTGACATGAGAACTACAGTAAAGAGCAAGTCGTCTGTCACTCAGACCTCAAAATGGCGCCATGGGCATTCTTGAGGGGACAACCGGTAGTTTATAGGATTCATAAAGAGCTGCCTTCCCAGAGTACCCGAATGTGTAAACGCACAGCCTTCCTCACTTCAGTGAGTCATGTGCAGAGGGAGTCCTGCCGTGACTGATGTGTTCCCCTGTGCCCTTGTGTTCAGGACTTGAGTTGCATCACCTATGTTCCCTGCGAGTCTTATCCTGTAGCAAGTGAAAACGCCATCATGTCTGACTAGAAGCTGAGTCTCAGGCGACTTCCTTCTCGTGAGAAAAAGGTGTGTTTTGTGGGGAGGACACTGGCAGCGTGAAGGGCAGGTGATGGCTGTGAGGGACTCATGGTGGCTCTCATAGTCCCGAGTCAGCAGCTATGTGCCGAGACCTGGAGACTACAGCAACTGGCTGAAGTCAGCAGCGTTATTCTGTCGCTCTGTCATTAACTAGCACTTCTATGGTTCTATGGTGACAATGGCCACCACAACAGTCTTCCAGGTGAAGAAACAGTCTACACTTGGGTCCTCCAGGTGAAGAAACAGTCCATTGGCTTCCAGGATAATGTCAGCCGCTGTGGCATCTAGTCTTATAACTTTTTCTGTCTTAATAAGTTTAATTAGCTCAGAAGATTTTAATTGCTCCATAAAACCTCTCTATTTCAAAAGAAAGAAAACGTTCACTTTGGCTTTTAGGTGAAGCTTTCAATGTTCATAGCTACTTCACATGGCAATTATTCACCCGTACGCAGCTCCAGGTAAGGAGGAATGAGCAACCATGAGGAAAGGGCTTTCAGAGACTTCTCTTCAGATCACAGTTCGGTGTGGTGTCCAAGGTAAAGGAATTGCTCTTCTGAGCCCACCATTGTGTTCCTGGGGTGCACCTTCTCCCAACAGCTTCTATGTACCTGGCCCTGTTCTGAGTACTTTACACTTAATGTCTACATTAAGTCTGCTAAGCAAGTAACCGAGTATCTTCATTTTTAAGGTTGGAGAAAGCAGGGCACAATGAGGTTGAAAGTTAAACACGTGAGTAGATGATAAAAGGAAGCCAATTCCAAGGCACACCAAAAATCAACCTGAGGTCTGGTGTTGTTAACTCCATCTACTATGTCCAGAAAGGTCACTCTCCAGGAGATTCTGTACAGCAGATGTAAGGGAGGAAGACCATGGCCCAACTGCTCTCCATTTTCTTCTCTTTCATTTGACATCCAACTGGTCCTGGAGTCAACTAAATTTGGCTATTTGTACTTCAAAAATAGTAACATTATGGAAATAAAAATTAAACAGATTACTGATTTGAGACTACCAATATGTCTTTTGAAATATTGAGAAAAATTATTATCTAAATTCTAAAACTGTAGCTTGGGTCTGTTCTGAACTAGTGGTCTTGAAACCTAATGCTCCCGAACTCCCTGACCCCCAGGGAGATGATGATTTCCGTGCCTGGGTAGACTGGGTCGCTGTCTTGGACTCATGGTTTGTTATACTATTTTGTAAAGTTCAAGTGAACATTGGCTTGTTCTCTGTGGTTTTTTTTCTGGTCTCTGTGATTATGGTAAGTATCATTTGAGAGAGCTTGTTCTGGTTAAACTTTTCAAGAAGTCGCTGGCTTGTCAATAACCAGTGGTGCTGTGCCATATTCAGTGATCAAGTGAAGGACAGAAGCTTGACATCACTCAATTAATGTACAACAATGATCCAGAATTGAAGCCAGACTGTATGTTGGAATAAGTAAGGAGAAAATGGTGAAATAATACATTTAAGACAGGGAGCATGGCCACTGTCAGCACTTGTGGTCATCTGTGTAAAGATAAGAGAGTGGTGTGGGACGATTGTCTCTATTCTGTCGATTATGTTTTAAATAAACACTGATTGACAAGTAGCCAGGCAGGAAGTATAGGCAGGGCAATAAGACAGGAAGTAGAGGTGGGTCAATGAGAACAGGAGAATTCTAGGAAGGAGAAAGCCCATTTCTCCCCAGTCGTGACCCATCCACCAAAAAAGGAAGATGTGACTTCCTCGCTGAAAAAAGGTACTGAGCCATGTGGCTAACATAGATGAGAATAATGGGTTAATATAAGTTATAAGAGTTAATAAGAAGCCTGAACTAATGGGCCAATCAGTTTATCAGTAATATAGACTTCTGTGTGATTTCTTTGGGGCTAAACGGCTGTGGGACCTGGTGGAAGGACAGAAACCCCAGCAAGAAAAGAGGAGCTTCATTACAAAAGAAAAATCATTCAAATTTGTTTAGTTTCTTGTGATTCCAAAATTTTTTATGATAACTATGTCAAATGGTCTATTTTAAATTATGACAATCTCATATGTGTATATAATGCTCTGTCTTTACTCCCACAACCTCCTTCTCTGATTTCCTCCCCCACGACTTTTCTCTACAACCACCCCATCTCACATTTCTAGTTTTTATTGTGCTTTATAATCTGCTGAGGTTATCAAGAAATTTCTTTGTGGTCTTGTGTTTAGAATTATATACTGGAGTCTGGTGGTACTCCCTGTGGGTGTACAACTTATAATGGCTCTTCTTTCCAGAATCTATGAGTCGCCAATAGTCAACAGGAAGAAGAAGGGCACCATGTGTCCTTTCTTTATTCATAGCTGACTAGAGGCAGGATCAGTCTTCTGTGGGCTCAGTGAGAGTGACCTTTTCTCCTGTCAGTTCCTGATTACAATCACATGGGTCCTACCTAGAAGATGACACTGTGTAGTCTGTTTCTCTGTCTCCCAGCTCTTCTCATCTTTCTGCCTCTACTAACACAGTGTTCTCTGAGCCCCAGAAAGGGTAGAATAAATGTCTTGTTTAGGACTGGGCCTTAAATCAGCTCTTATCCTTGCTATCTTGGGCCGTCATGGATTTACCACAAAGAGGCTTTTTTAATGAAGGCTGAGAGTGCTCTTTGTCTATGGCATACAGATGTTTTGAAGTTAGTTTGATGCTATGTTGGTCTACCTACATAACAGTGATAAGTGTCCCCCCAACACGAGGACCTATAGCTTTCTTACCCATGGGTATTTAACTAGGTTACAGTACTGTATTCTATATATAGAAGCGATATTCCTTCCTCTGAAGTGGGTCTTAATTAGCGAGCAGACAGTCACCCCCATTACAGTTGTGTCACGATTGCACAGGTGGGCCTGGGAAGGCCAAAAGTCCTCAGGATTTGAGAACCCTTACCACTGCTGATTAGGAAGACTGACCCAGCACCTGACTGTGTATAAAGTAATGACAAAGGCCTTTGTCATTCCTTTTGGTTACCCTCCAGGATTATTACTGAAGATACCACCCATGTGGACTGCAATGTGTAGAGAACCCAAGGAAACTTCTAGGGCCTCCTCGACAAGCAAGTCCTACATAGGTATCCCGTACCTAATTCTTAGATCTATCTAGTAATCCATTGCTTCTCTGAACAGTGTTTTCCAGCCATGTGGAGTTTCCCTTTAATCAGATTGTAAGGTAGCAGGACTCCATATGTCTTTTCCACACACCTTTTGCTTTGGTTAAGCCTCGACCTGCTGTCCCTTGAATTTCCCATCCCCTTACCCTGTTCGCCTTGACTATTCTTTATGAAATGCTTTTGTGCTATGAACTCTGCCTCTCTACTTGCCCCTGTCTCCCATTGACTTTTGTCTCACGGTCCCAAATCCACCCCCTTCTTTTCCAAAAATGTGTGGCAGCTGCAAGGGAAGTGCTTCTGAGTCAGCCAGAAGTAGGGCCGGATGCCAGATTGTTGACTCACTGGAGGGCTTGGAGGAGGAGACAATTAAAGAATTAAAAGTTGTAACTTCGTGGACAGGGATAATGGTTTGAAGGATGGTTTGTACAAGTACTCTTACCACCTGTGACATGACAGGAAGCTCATTTGGTTATTTTGTTATGATTATTATTCATACACCTACACTATGCTTGTCTTAACCTGCTGGCTATAGGGAGCTGATCATGGAAATAGACTTTGGCCATTTCAAGACTTCATAGCCATGCCGTAGAATAGAAGACATAATGCCAGTAGCTTGGTCTCAGTATCATTTCTATTTCATTTTTCCTGGTACAAGACCAGTGCCCTATTCCTTGGGGGAAAGGCTTTAGAAAAAGCCTACAGAATGGGGATCAGGCTCAGCCAGGTGTTTGCCATTAAGAGTTACAATTGCCTTGTGCATTGGGACTGAACTTTGCTACATTAAGAAACCTAAAGTATCTACATAGCAAAAAATTAAATAAATTACCACAAAAAGATCCTAAATAATATTTCAAAATATAAATATATATTCACCTCATTAGAGTAAAACCTTCAATAAAGATTTTACAATTTCATTTGGGAAAAAAAGCAAGACTATGTTAGAAACATATGGAGGTAAATCTAGCATAGCTTTTGTCTTCACTTTGGTAATATATCATGCCCATCAACCGAATCAGAGCTTTCTTTTTAATAGTGGGGATGAATACATCATTCAAATTCATTGTAAGACAGACAACACAGTCTATCTTACTTATCCTGTGTCCAGACCCTTTTTACACACATGCGTTGATTTTCATCTATTCCATCTCTCATCTTTCCATGAGAGAATCCCCCAGAGATCTATAGAGGAGAGCTTCTATTCTTTGATCGACATTTGGAAGACACATTAAAATGCCATGTGACTATCTTTCAAGTGCTATCATTTGAAATGTGATATCAATATGCTATATTCCAATGGGCATTAGGAAAATGAAAGAACAGAAGGGAGGAGAGGGAGTCTAGTCATGTTTCCTGATGTCAGAGGAGGAGCTGGAGCAGGAGCAGGTGGAAACTCGGATAAAAGCACTGTCCAGAGTCAAAGCTACACGTCAAGCTAAGGCCTGGACAGCCAGTGAATAGAGGAAGGCATTCGAGAGTTATCTCCCTTCTACATTTGCTCATGAGTGGACACAGTGCCTGCCAGCTCACGCTTGGGTCTGTAAGTGTGCTGGGAGGTGCTTTACTATGAAGGGACTTTAAAAGGAAGGCTCTGAATAGAAGGCCAAGCTGGCTTTATTAAAGGCATTTTACTTTTATTGGGGAAGTTATTCTCCTTTCCACATAGTAAGTTTTCCATTGAAAATCTCGGGCCCTTCTCTTGTGAAAATTAGCCCAACAGCATCTTTTCTCTACATCTAGACTGTGGTCCAAATAGCCTTCAAAATGAGGTCCTTGCTTGGTATTCTCTCTCATTTTGCCTTGATAAGTGCTAAGAACAGTGACAGTTTGTTGTTATTTGTAACAATTTTATTTCATTTTAAATTTATTTATTATTTTTAAATAATAATCTTCATCGGGAATGTCATACTATGTATTTATACCATATTCACTGCCCACACCTTCCCTCTAACCTCTCCATTTCCTGACTCCACACCCCCTCCAAACTTGATGTCCTCTTTAAAAGAAAACACAGTGAGTCCAATCAGTACTTCCCATCTACATGGCATGGGACCTTCCAATGGAACACGGTCAACCAAGCAGGAACACACCCCTAAATAAAGCCCCTTCTCCCCTTCTAGCAATCACAACTGCCAATAGCACCTCCGCTAGGGGGAGGAGCTTATGTGCCCTCACACATTTTTGCTACTTTTTTAAATTATAAAATATACAAAACTCATTTTTTTCCCTTAAAATGCAGTGACATTGCTCTTGTCTCTCTTGCATTCAAGTATGTATTCAAATGTAACTCTGGCCACCAGGACATCAGTCTTCGCCTTGTCCCTTAGCTGTCTAGTTGTTCCTGTGTCCCCTGCTCCCACCACAAGCTTTTGTTTGCTTGGTTTTTTTTAAAAAACTTATTTTTTTCTCTTAATACCAAAGGCTCAGTTAGCCTAGAGGGCTGCATGCCATGCTAACTCTCTGCAAAATGACTTGTTAAAACCTCTCAGGGATGGATGGGCGAATGGAAGTGTTGAGGAAACACTGATATGCTGAGCTGAGAGAGGCTAAGCTGAATTCAGCCTCCGTAGTGTCCCCCCTCGAATAGAGGGCAGCAAACCGGAGTCAACAACTTCGCTCTCCTTTGGAAGAGCGTTTGACTTGGGGCCTGGCGTTTCCTTTTTGGTTAGGAAATCCTGTTACTTATCCCTCTGCACACAGGAAATCCGTGGACCAGGGGATGATGACCCAGAAACCTGCCCCCTTTTGATATTTGACTCACTCTGGGAAGGGATGAAAGGCAGAGAGACTGAGTTTGTGCAAAGGAATTAAGATTGTTGATCCCCACGATGTATTTCAGAGCATTAGGAAAAGCACTGTAACTTACATTCATCTTCAGGGTATATGACTTGCCAGTATCCCACTGGACAAGGACAGAGGTGTGGCGTAGTCACTGTTCAAACAGAATTTACACTCAGTAGAAGGCAGACGGGGAGTCATTAAAAGCAAATCCATGCACTGAGCTCTTTCATTCTGGAAACGTAATCTAAGTTAGAATCCTGCACTAATAAGGAAAGACTTCAGATCAGATTCCAAGGGGCCAGCCCGACCTCGTGAGGTTTATTGCCGGCTCTGATGCATGTGACTGTCATCTTTCACATGCAAACTTTAGTTTAAAGAGCAGACAGTGTGACTCTGCGTCCCCACCAATCCTTGCCAACAATGCCAGAGGTGATGTGTTAGAGAAACCTACCTTTCTACCTGTTACATCATCAACCAGGAGAATCATTTACCAAAGAGGAGCGGCCCAGCTTCCTCTTGCACGCCTGGGAAAGGTGACATCAGAGGACACAGGGACAGGCTTCAGAATTTTCCTATTTCAGGTTTCCCATAGCAGATACAAGGTAGTGGCGTAGGTTGTAGTCAGTTTCTTTGATGTAGCAGTCCTTAGCATTCTTGGAAGGAAGTCCTTAGGTCAGATCACTAGTCATCAATAGTGAAGAAGTGAGAAGGGAATAGATGTGCCGTTCACAGTAGTTTCCTCTGTGCATCTCCCCTTCTTATAATTCTAGGTCTGTGCGCCACCAGGTCACCTAGGAAGTGCACTGCAAGTGTCCTTCTGGGGTTTAGGTGGCCTTGGTATTCCATTTTTCCACTGAGTTATTAAAAAGCCGTGAATTTTTTCAGACCCCACATCTGATGAGTTTCAAAAACAAAAATAATTGTGTAGATTCATCACCAAAGAAAAGTTATAGGCAAAACAATCTGATATTTGTGATTCTTCCCAGTCCTATGTGGAATTTAGACAGAATATGATTATATAAGGCCAGCAGATCACATGGCCTCATTCATCTGTCATGATTACTTAGCTATAAGGATAAGCAAACCACAACAATGACGAGAATAACTGAGAATGATTGTTTGCATTCAAAAATTTAAACATTTCCTAAAGTGAGTAAACTGTAGTTTCTGTTTAGGGCATCTTTTTGGTGTTTAAAGTTATCCTTGATAAAAATTCCTAGCTCTCAGAATTTCCTTTTATGATCTAAGGGAAATATAGTAATTAATGCAATGGTATGTACAACAATAATTAAATATTTAATCCATTCTGGATTTAGACCTGCCTTACCAGACTGGTGAATTCATCTGAGGTTTGGAACAATACATGAAATGAACTGAAATTTCATCTTTAATTTGGGGAAAAGGCTTCTTAAACTCAAATTCAAATATTAAGATAATAATTTTAAAAAAACACCTTGAAGAACTTATAAGAGAAAGCCTTGGTAGCATTGAGCAGGCAATATGAGGTGAAGTCAAAATAACACAAAAGTAGGAATTAGAAAGTAGTGAGAAGAAACCCCTAAGGCAGGAAGATGATGAGAAACCATGGGGGCGGATCTCAAGCTGGGGAGAAACGTTTGCAGTGATGCCTGACCAATGACATTTTGATGAAATAGGAAGAGGATGACAGTTGAAAAATAATTTGACACTTAACTAAAAATGATAATGTAAAATGTATAGAAGTACATGAATGTCTAAACACTCAGCACAATAGTCACCAGGGAATTCAGATTCAAGGAACAGGGCATTTCATTGAATCTCTCAAAACTGGGAGATCAGCAGGGATAGTAATGGTGGCCATCTTGGCGAACAGTTTGGGAATTTATTGTATTTGTATACACATATCACACAGCCAAACATTGCCAAGAGATTTCCCAGTGGGAGAAGGAAATATATGGCTATTAGTTGATGTTGTAAGAGGATAAATTTGTTTTCTTCAAAGTAGTTGCACTGGGTATTATCAACCATACTCCAAGGCAGGCCTGAACACGAAGTAGTCTCTAAAAAACACTGGAATCCATGGTTTTGTTTCATTTTTATTAGCTTGCTTTGACTTTTTTCTTTTAAGAATGAGAACATGAAAGTTGGGTAAGATCTGGGAGGAGATGGGAAAAGAGAAGGAGAGTAATCAAACTATATTTATGAAATTCTCAAAAAATACATTTTAAAAACAAGATTTTAAAATAAGCTAAATCAACTTATGAATAGATAAGCAATTCATATGACATCTATATAAATGAACTGTGATTTAGCAATAGGAATCAGAGTCATGTATAAGCAAGAACACAAACAAGTAAATCTTCATGTTGCTTGGAAGAGATGAGAAAAAGACAGTGCATATTTGATCATGTGCACGAGGCACCAAATAGGACTAAAGCGAAGAGAAAGAAACTGGATTGTCAGGTACTAAGAAAAGAGGGAGGAACATTTAGGGATAATGATGTCTTTATTACAGCCATTATAAGACATGGTCTGTATGTCAAAACTCAACAACTGTACATCTACCATATGTAAAAACACTTTTATAAAACTAATAAGTGTATGTGGCAAGATTATACATAAAGAGTTCCCTTTCTCCCTTGTTACATGATTTCAGCCCACTCTTGTCTCTGTTTGGCATTGTGTCATCAAACACAGTGGCCCATACCCACATGTAGTAGCTTGAATCAATTAACGAAAACTGACTGAAATGCAGAATTCAGTTCTTTAGTTAAACTGGCCTCATTTCAAGAAGGGAATAACCCCAGGTAACCAGAGGTGACTACAGGACCAAGACAGTTCTATGGATTCAATTTTCTCTCGGTTGAACTAGCAGCCCTGGCCTAGAAGAACACATTTTAGTTAAAGAGATGTCACAAATAAGAATCCAAAAGCCTTTGGATTATTGATATCACACATTGTCAGATGAGAGAGCAATCTGCCAAGATCCAAAGAAGGATGTTACATGGAGAGCACTGGACTTAGAGTCATCCAGGGAAAGTGTGCCGAGAAGAATGGTGTGTTGAGAGTGTCCCAGATGACAGGAAATACTGTCAGTCCACCATGACAGTCCTGAAGAACAGAGGAAGGCAGACCAACCCTTCTTCTGAGCATGCTGAATAATATGTAAGGCCCATTCAGTTGGACCGCCTTGGAAAAGAAGAAAGAAAGAATGGCCGGTGGAAAGCAACAGGCGGTTCTAGAAGTTGACTGTGGAGGTCCCTGAGGGAGTGAAAGGAAGCCTGAGCTTCAAATGGGAGTGATCAACTTGCTATCAAGAAAACTCAGAAATGAATGTGAATTGAGCCAAAGGTTAATGCATAAATACAGGCTGCTGAATCTCGTGACACTTATCTGGCTTGGGGAAATAGGAAGTTTGCATGGATTTACAAAAGTGACTTCAAACAAGATGCCATTTTATTTATTTTTATGAACCTAGTAGATAATCACACATAAATTGAAGCAATGGCTCCAGCTCCTTGGAATGTATCACATTTCTTATTCTAGCCTATTTTATTTCTATTGAAAAATGTTGGTCAAGATTTACTAAATTAGGTTTATGATTCATAAATGGGTCAAAAATCAGAGTTGTAAACGTCATGAGCTTCATGTGTGGAAAGAAGAACAGCCTAAATGGAATTGAGTAAGGGTTACGTTATGCCACTCAGACAAGCCTGCTGTATTTTCTACAAGATGAGAGTCACAGGTCTTAGGTCAATAAGCATGATGTAATCATTTCCTAATCTTTCCAGTTTCTAATCTGGGAGATGAAAGTTCAAAGAAAGACAGTAGAGGGAAACTGTTTATTGTGCTCTTTGAAACTAGATATTTACAGAGTAAAGAACAAACCTGGCTGAGAGAGGAGGAACTGCATCACTCTCTTGAAATCAATGTAGGCAATAGGAGAAAATTACAAGTTGATTTCATCACCAGTTCTGAAGGGAAAAGGAGCCACCCAGCTAGGCTGTCTTGTTGAGGGCTCGAGGAGCACAGGGACTCGAGGTGTCCGTTCTACGTCTTTACATTTGATTCTGTTGAATACCCTCCCTTCCAAACTAAATGCAGAACAGTCAAGACAACCACACACCTAAGACATTACTCGTGAGTGAAAATGAACTTCCCACTCAGCTGTAGTTCATTTTCTGAGGTCAAGCTAGTTCTTCCTTGATATAACTTAGGATGTTTCCTGGACGGTCTTTGCCGTGGGCTACACAGGGTGTGCTAAAAGGTGAAGTTCTTTATCATGTTCTATCTCAGTTCTTTATCATGACTATCCTAAGGATAGAGAGAGAAGGAAAGGAGATCTGATTATAACAATCACCCTAATTAAAATTTGAACACACTAACATATTTGACAAATGCCATTTGGGTCTTTTGGATAAAACGGGTCCAGCATGGGTAGTTTGGTAAATTCATTCGTTAAGCAAAGAATTAACTGACTACTTAAAATCGACCAGTCTCATCTGCATGAGATATTTCTGCCATGAATCACATTATTCTGTTTATTTAAGTTATGTAATATACTTTAATATTCTGGCCAATATTTCTTGATGTTTTTCTTTTTCTAAAGTTAGTCTCACATATTTATCTTCTGAGGAGGAAGCTGTAGTATGTGTTGGGTTAAACAGCTTTCATTTAATCTGGACTCTATCCTGTACAGTGCCATAGCAAAGGACCCAGAAAATAGCTCCCATTGGATCCTTTCTGTTCTGTTTATGTATTGATAAACCCATCTCAGATAATTAATTTAATTGATTAACCAAAGGATTAGCTCTTCCCTAAAATTTTGACTTCTCATTCATTGTTTTATATTTCCAGAAGAGATGTAAGGAAAGATGGCTGTATTTAGACACTAGAGCTGATTTTAATTTCCCTGTCTTTGGGAAAATGTGGCCTCTCAGCAGCCCCGATCCTTGTGAAAACTGCAGCATATACGTGTCCTTGTCCATGTTGAAGAGTTTTTGATTCTTAAGCTAATTCCTAAATAGTTGTAGAATTTTTGTGCAGTTAATTGAAGATTACTTGAAAACTGTTTTTTGTTTGATTGTTTAGAAAATGACCATCTTGTTGAGTAGCATTATGATTTCAAATAAGTTTCCTGATGACTTAAAAATCTTTTTCCCAACAGGCCCATGAGTTCAAACTGACCTGAATGCTTCCTCCTTGAGGATTAGACGTCATGGTAACAGAAGCACCACACACAAGATTCCAAAGAAAAATGCACCCAGCAGTCCTACCTAGTTATGATACCTATGAGCCACAACAACCAACAGCACCACACAGAAACCCTAGAATCATAATAGTAGCAAGGACTCTTTGCAGTAA